TCTTAGTTTGAGGACTAACAGTTATCTAAATACAAGGGGAGCTTTTGGAATGTTTGTTCTTTAAGACGTGGATATGTAATATAACTATAAGGTTTTTATTTGTAATTTATCAATAATTTGAAACCTCTCTAACTTTTTCTTCTTTTTATGACTAACTATCCTTAAGGATTTTCATATGGTTTCTTGATGAATAGTTCGGGCAACTATCCTGTATTTCTATTTACACGAGGAATAATCTGTTTCCAACTGCTACCTCTCCAGCTTTAATGTTCTGAAATTTTAAGATTCGGCCTAATTTTGATTGTGTTTGTTTGACATTTTAGATGGCTCAAAATTAGTGATCCAAGAAGTATAGCAGATATACTGAGACAGGTTTATGCAGATCATACAACAAATGTGGATGAAGTTTTCTCCCACATTATCGAGACAACTCAACATCCAGCTGCTGCTGCATCCTTAGCCTCCATTATATTTGCTCCAAGGGGACAATTATCCTTCAATGAAGCTTTAGCTAGGTAATTGCCAATGGAAGCACTTTTATGATTTTAATTTTTTTTATTTTTTTTTTATTTTTTATTTTTTTCACATTTTGCATTCTGTTTTATTATTATTTTTTTCTTGTTTACTTCCTCTCTACCTCTCTGTATGTGTGTATGTATTTATATGCATATTAGAACTCGCTTGTGATGGCAGGTGTAAAATGAACAATACACCGATTTGTCTAACATACGGGAAGGAAGATCCATGGGTTATGCCGATATTCGGTTTGCATGTGAAAAGGCAAGTACCAAATGCTCCTTATTATGAGATAAGTCCTGCTGGGCACTGCCCTCATGATGAAGTTCCCGAGGTACTTATCTTGCCTCTCAGCTAGAAATTGTTTATATCTCTACGTTTGATTGCATCTCAAATTACACTAGTCATCATTTCGTGAGGTTCTGAAAGATGATGAATGTCGGTGAAAGTCGAGTTCTCCTTAAAATGGATATATCCATAAATATAAAGATGCTATTTTCTTCTGGTTTATAAGCGCTCATATTTTTCCTTTTTGTATGTATGTATTTTCCCAGGTTGTGAACTTTATTCTGCGAGGTTGGATCAACAATCTGGAGTCGGGAGGTTCTATGGTGCTGCCTTTGCTCGATAACCCAAAAGATGCTGATTATGGATTCACAAAGGAGCTCGAATTTTCCAGACAAGGAGGGTCCAAAAAATCAGTTCGGGTGAAGCTCTATGGATCCAAATTCGGGCTGTTGAACTGGCTAAGTTCTCAGTTCAAACCTCTTTTGTACCGTGAAAAGGCTCGATGGATTAGTTAGTAACCCTTCTTCTGCATTTGAGATTATAAAATCAATAATGTTAGTAGAATGTACATATCTGTATTCATGCATAACCTTTGTACAGAAAAGATGAATTCTGGTAGGTATGAGCAGGAAAGTTGTTGTAAATTAGTGGACTTGTTAGCTGTAATTCTCTTTGTTGTGCGTTTACAAAGGTGTAGGAATTATTTATAGCGGCAAGAAAGTATATATACGTTGATATATAGGCGCTGTAAATTTGCGAGTTGGTTTCATTCAGTTTGACCGTCGCACTCAGTTTATGCCTTCAGATTGTGAGATCTACTAAGTTCCAAAGCCTCCTACAACATAATTCCACACATGAGGTCTCATTTTACGGAGAAAGGTCGTGAGATTTACATGAGGCTCGGGAGTTCCATTTAGTCGCACCACCAAGACTATCTGGAGAAGGCATATGGGTCATATAATAGAAGATCATAAGGTATCTTATTCGCATTCCGACGAATAATATATCCCCGAGAGTTTTCGATCAAGGCAAAACTTGGAGAAGACGATCACCAATGATCAACAACCCAGCGGTGCAACCAGATCCACGAGCTGCACTATCGCACGTGATCGCTGGACCACCGCGCGCCACAATCGATGCAGCTGCAGCGCCGCCCCCAGCATACGAAGCACACGCATGCACGCGATGCGTTGCACGGTAACAACACACGCCGCAGCCTGACGCACGCAATGCCACGACACGCGCACCTCCGGCGACACTCAGCTATCCCACTGCGCACGACTCGCAATCCCGACGAGGCTACTTGGAGACTTGACGAGGAGCAGAGAGGCACGTGGGCTCAAGGACGCGGCTAAGAACGTTCATCCAGCCGCTTAGGCTGTGTAAGTCATCTCAAAGTCGGAAAATTTTTAAACCCTAAGTCTTGATCCTAACACTAGATTCCGCTGTGTTAGGATTTATTTTGATAGATTTTGATGTTTATATTGATGACATTCCTCATGGAACTCAACATTTCCCTCATTGATTTTCAACATAATAATAACTAACTGAGTGATATTAGTTTCGGATATAGAAGTTAATTAATTATATTTTCTGAAATTAAATTAATCAAAGAACGTTAAATCTTAAACATGAGGAGGTAATTCGAACAATTAGCTAGGAGACAAATTATTTGTAGCTAAATGAGGAGAGGAATATATTACTCTAATGGAATATTCAATTATTTAAGTGTGAACACAAAGTTGGGCAGACTCATTAGTTGTGTTCACACTTGGGAGCTCATATTTAGCATCTCTTTAGAGTTCATGTTGTAGCTTATGAATACACCAAGTCTCAAAGTCTACTACAACATAACTCCACACACGAGGTCTACTTCTTCGGAGATAAATCATGAGTTTTACGTGAGGCTCGGGAATTCCATTTAATGCCACCGCATTGCTGCCCCCAGCGTTCGATGGACGCACCACAACCGCATTATTGCTAGACATAAACCTGCTGTTTTGCGGGGCAGGGTGGAATATCAATGATTTACCCAAATATGGAATTCGGCTGCAATATCATATATGTGTTTTGATAAAAAAAATTCCTAAATTGTACAATTTATCTTTTAATAAGTGTTTTTTGTATTTTTCGTGTAATTATTTTGTGAAATACATTTTTAATATACATTAATTATGCAAATTGTGTAAATCCGACTGCTTAATTCAATCTGTAAATAATTACTACAATTATGCAAATATCGACAACAATAACTAATTACGCAATTTGCGAAAAATGTTCTAAAAAATTTACATAAACCCTAATTACTCAGATCGTTTAAGTTCGGAATTGATTTATTCAATTATAATTTCTTATAAAATTATTCTAAAATAATTGTGTTAATAGCAATTTTTATTTGATTATTTTTAATAACTATTTTTGGGTCTTTTTTTATTTTTATCTATAATAAACGTGAGTCTTGATTTTTTTTTTTTGTCTTACGTTGCGCAATTAATTCCGTGGTTAAACTGAATATCATTTGTATTGTATCGATAATGTATGAAATTGAATTATCTGATATACTATATATTAATTCAATATACCCGCTTATGATAATGAATGGTATCTCAATATTTTTTTCATAGGCATTTTACTCGATATTAATGAAAGAAAATTCTGGATAATACTATATTCGATTTTTCTTTGTAAATGTGCGTGGAACATATTAAATTATTTTGTGTGTGTGCGTGTGTGTGTGTATAAAGTTTTTTTACTTAAATTACATTGTAGTCAAATCAAATGTCTGAATAAAGATTTTAAAATGACATCTATTTTTGAAATGAATGTAATGTAACTTATTATCAATCACCGTACGGGTCGTGTACTAAATTTAGACATGTTTATGTAATATTGTAGAATTTAAATTTCATATAATATTTTCAACAATTAATATAGGTAAATTATTTTACATATTGATTTCATATTTTTAATTTATATATATTATTTAATGAGCATTTGTAATTTATAAATATTAATAAATATTTTTTATCCGTGCATCGCACGGGATTCGTACTAGTAAATTGTTAACATAGTTGGTAATTCGTTAAATTCATATATAATCTTAACCTGGTTCAATAATAATGTCCTAAATATTTAAAATCAGACACAACCCATAATAATAATAATAATAATAATAATAATAATAATAATAATAATAATAATAATAATAATAATAATAATAATAATAATAATATAAAGAGGTTGTTGTAAAAATACTTAAATAGTATTATTTAACAAAATTTTTAACAAAATGGGATAAATTTTTTATTTGATGTCAATTCTAATCAATTTATTTAGGAAAATAATGCAAATAAAATAAAAATCCAAATGTAAATCGTTCAAATTTGGTCATCTTTTTTTTTTTTATTTTTTTTAATGAATTAGTTTTGGGATGTATATTCGATGCATATATGCTACGCTTTTTTTTTTCAAGTAAGAGTGATACACTCCCAATACAATTTTTTTAAACAGCTATTGATATACATTAAAAAATAATTGCTATAATTATTTTCCTTAAAATGATTCTCTTTCTATTTCCTAATAAAATCTGTGTGAATCTCTAAAAATTGACAGATTTTAGGTTTTGAAAATTCAAATCAATTGATATCCAATAAAATTGACAGATTTTGAAGTTATGAGAATTCAAATAAATTCAGTCTTTCTATCATTTTTTCTTTTGTAACAAAGTTTGCCAGCTTTGAACTTTGTGGCAATCATTATCTAATTAGTTAGGAAAATAAAATAAAATCAATTTAATGTCAATTATTGATTACATTACCAAGTAATATCTGAAAATTCTATTCCAATGTTTTTATTTTTTTGATAATTTTTTTCTAAAAAAAATAAATTATAGGTAGATGGCACATGAACAATCACTATACAAACACCACATTGGTGTGACCATTGAACCAAACATCGACATGAAATAATACATCCCACAAACAAACTTTTGAATCATTTTTTTCTTCCTCATTCAAAAGACTTTGGCTTTTGGAAAAATCAAAGATATAAAAGAATTAATAAGCCAATGATCAAGCTACGCGTTATTATAATGTTCCAACACATTGAAGACGAGCGCAATTATCGAATTGTTCTTAATATTATATTTCACGATTTTGAGGTAATTTATCTTTATATTATTATTTATATGCATCATTTTATGCTACATGTTTTATGATTTTTTTTTAATTTAATTATTGAATATGTATTTTCTTATGAAGGATGAATAATTTGTATAATATGACCCAACAATATTCCACAATTCATACGGAATTGAAGAAGGTGACGCTTATATTTTTAAAAATTATCAAGTGGAAAGCAATATTGACATCTACAAATCGACAGTTTGCACTTGGAGGATCATTATTAACAGCCAAACCAAGTTTTACAAGTGGAAAGACGAATCTATATTGTTTTGTACGTTCTAAATTTTTGTTAATTTTTATTTCAAAATTTTATATATTTAATTCAAAATAATAAAATCAATTTCGACAATTTAATACGATAAATTGTCTTACATTTTTGTATATGTAATTGGATTGATTGTTCCTATGCAATCTATTCAAATGAATATTGTCATGGGAATCTATTCAAATGAATATTGTCATGGGAGTTCCTACTCAAATCATCGTCTTCTTTCTATGGACTTAAAGTCAGAATCCTTAACATTGCATATTCATATTGTTTATCTATCAGTATATATAATATGTGTTTTGAATGTTTTTTTGACGTATAAATTCCTTTTAAATTTTTTTCTAATGTAGGGAGAACATGAAGAACTGTACGCTTTGGGGTCAATATGTTGACCATTTGATTGCTTTTGAGAATCATTACCAAAATGCGAAAGAGTTGGGAAGTATTTCATTAATTTTAATACTGTTAAACTCAATGAATAACTCGACATATTTTTTTTGTTTTGATCGGCTAATCAAATATATTTTTTAATTAGGTGAAGTTCGAATAACCATTGTTGATGTCTAAAAATGACCAACAATGTGTTCGAACTGCACACTGTGATGTGTACTCGGTTCGGTCTGCACGAATAGTGTTTCTGTATGTTATTCGGTTTATCTTACTGGCCCGAATGCTCAAGCTATCCGTGACTTATAGAGTAGTTAATGAGAGCATTTACTCATTGCATTTAATGTTGTCCTCATCTCCCTTATATAGAAAGTTTAGGGACCTTTTACATTTCCCTCTTAGGGGATTTTTACATTTCTTTTGCAAGATATTTTAAGATATTAGTCATTCCAAATTTAATGCTAATGTACTTCTCAATAATCCCAATATCAATGGTTTATCCGGATCACGCCACGTGCCCCAATTTTCCCCTCGTCGTCAGATGGGAGATTTTGACGAATCTCCGCATTTAATGCGCGCAGTACGGCTGATTTGGGTGATGATTAGATCAGATTTCGCTCGTTTACTGCTATCCGCTCGACGAGCGACTGGTCTCGGGTGCGTCCGGTTCTCCTCTTCCACGTGCGTACGAATTAAACACGTGTTTATCCCTATGATTCTTCATTCGGTCCATACCCCGCACAACCATATCAAAGGATGTGACCCTACTTATCGGTGTTGATGTTCCCGAGATTAGAGATTTTTGTAAGAGGTACATATCGTTTGATAAAGAAGTGTTTAATAATATATAGGTTTTATTATCATTATATTTAGTAATTAGTAATGACATGATCTTCCCTTATTATATAATTCAAATTTTAATTTAAAATTGCATTTTAAAAGGGACGGAAATAATAAAATCTCGTGCATTGCACGTACATTGTACCCATACAATATTAAATACAAAGAAATAATAATAATAATAATAATAATAATAATAATAATAATAATATATGCGAAAAATTTACAGTGAAGATCAATCCAAATCCAAATCCAAATCCAAATCCAAATCCGTGGAAAGTGGTGGTTCATGCACTGAAAAGGGGCTTGGGAAAAACCCTCTGGCCTGGAGCGAGAATGGCGAGGGGATCATAAGCTGCTTTCCTCTGGACAAAGGCTTCCCATCTCGGCCCGAAATGAGCCCGCCATTCCTCCTGCGTGGTGTAGTACGGCAAATATTGCTTCACTCCCAACTGACCCTCCTCCGAGAACTCCAAGATCCTATTGTTGAGCTCCACCAAATACTGTAATACTCGATCAATGACAACGCTGCCGCCTTCGGATGTGGACGACGGAGGAGCTGCTGCTGCATGATGAAGAAATGCGACCAGGTAGAATATGTCCTCCTCCTCCTCTCCTTCTGGTGTTATGAATGACGTCCTATTGTCCACCCTGAATTAAAATACAATGGCAATTCTAGATTCAATTCACCACAGTTGACAAATCCTGGTAGGGTAGGGTAGGGTAGGGTAGGGTAGCTGCAGTTAGACATTGATTTATCCCCAATTCTTGTGAACAAGTATCAGAATTTTGAGCTTTTGTCAAGCGAAGAATGCATGTCTTACTTTGATTTGGTGAGTGGGTAGACGAGTACAGGCCCGTTGTTTGTTTCTGTTACGATGCTTCCGAAAACACCCTCGGCGAATTTGCGTATTTTGCTCTTGGGGACAAGTAGATTGAGCCATGGGTGTGGTATTTCCCAAAGCCCCTTCGACCTCAATTTTAGCTCAGCTGCATGGACCCTGTCGAGAAACCTTAGATACGAAACTTCTGTAACGAAGAGTGTTGATGGGATGTAGCTCAATTTAGACAATAGTGCCCAAACTTCCTGCACAAGTATTAAAAAGGAAAATTAGATTTAGTTTAATAACTATTTTTTGATTGTTCATTTTTATGTAACATGTGTCCTAATATGTGCGCGCACATTCTCAATGTCAATATCCTCATCGGGGTCGAAGTTTTTGGTCATTTCCAGGCAGTAGAGTATTTTTCCATCGGATACAAACTTGTCGGCTTGCTCCGGGTCTTGTGCGTCGAAAGACGATCTCCAGTTATTGATGAGACCGGATTTGTTCACGATCACCAGGCCTTCTACGTAGTCGAACGTGTTGTCTGTTGAAATTAGTTGCTCCTGGTCCCTTGTGAAAGTGGCGAAATCTTGATAGAGGACTCGGATCCACTTCACCTGTCGATTATGAGTTCAACTATGAATTCATCTGTAAGCCTTCAAAAGATTAATGGGATGGTTGTAAAAATTTGCCTTTGAGGTTTGGGGTGGTTTAAGGAAACACACACACACACACACACACACTCAGTTAGCTCTATTTCTTGTTCCATTTTCCCAGTATTATATATGGCAAGAGTTCACATAAAGACCATTATATATATAAATTACCTTCTTATAGTGAAGAACTTGAAATTGAGCTAAAAAAAAAATATTTTGTTTATGTTTTTTCCTTTTATAGTAAGAAAAATACCCCCTACCCACCATCTCCTTGTGATATTCGTGAGTAAAATTAACATTGATGAGGGGTGGAGGCAGATTGTATACCATCTTTGGCGCTGGCTCTAAGGAGATCCTTGCTCTTGTTATCACACCGAACTGTCCAAGTCCACCCAGGACCCCATGAAACAGGTCACTATTCTTCTCGTCCGAGCACACCACAACCTCCCCTTTCCCTGCAAACAATAAGCCCGGCCCATATAATCCGATTGAAGCCTACAAATATCATTTCAATTCCAATACATCAAAATCATTTTTTTTTTTAAGCACAGACCTGTGACGACCTCGAGCTGGAGAACGTTACTGATCTGAGGCCCGTGTTTGAAAGCCTGGCCACTAAGGCCGCCATTGGAGAGGGTCCCTCCCACTGTGAGGTGCAGATAGTCGGTCCATGACTTGGGGGCCAGCCCGTGCTTGAGGCACTCGCTTAGAACATCTATCCATAGTTCCCCAGCCAAGACATCCACATAAAAGGAGTCGGCATCTTTGTGTACTTGAATTCCATTGAGGGTACGCATATTGATCACGATACCCTGATGGGTCTGAGCTTGCCCTTGGGCCGAGTGGCCGAGGCCCCTTGCGGCCACGGTCAGGCCCGAAGTGGGGCCCATCTGCCAGACATGCCTTATGGTGTTGGATATGTCGGAAACTTTTCTTGGGTGGAGGACAGCCAACGGGTGGTGGTGGAACTGGTGGCCGAAGTCATCTGCTGCAAACTCATTTCCCTCGAAGCTAAAGTGGCCGTAGACTTGGACCGAATTGAGTGAGGACTGTAAATTTGAGAAAGCCAGCTTCAATCTTATGCCGGCCATGCAGCAAAGGATCAACAGGAGGTTGGCAGAGGGGATGAAGGACTGCATCATGTTAAATTCTGCTTCTACTTCTACAAGTGGATATTGAAAGCAAATTATTATAGTAAATATTATTATTACTATTTTTTGTCTCAGGTATATTTATATATGAGGTTGAGGCAGAAAACAAAAGTTTTTTTTTTTTTTTTTT